GAAACCTCCCACCTGGCTGACTGACTGGAAGAGATGCTTATGTGTGCCCATTCCAATAAAAAGTGATCCACCTGAATACATAAATTGTTAAACTGTATCATACCACATGCAAGCAAAATTTTGCTGAAGATAGTCCAAAAACAGTTGCAGCAATATAGTGACTGGGAGCTAGCTGCCTGAAATTCAAGCTAGATTCAGTGGAAGATGTGGAATGTGGAAATTCATTACTGACATCAGATGGTTCTTGGCTGAAAGCAGAGAATTCCAGAAAGATGTTTACTTGTGTTTTATTGATTATGAAAAGGTACTGGACTGTGTGCATCATAACAGATCAAGGATTATATTGTGAAGAATGGGAGTTTCAGAACACTTAATTGTGCTCATGTGAAACTTGTGTATCGACCAAGAGGAGGCATTTCTTCGGGTAATTGTTCAAGAAGAACAAAGGATCATCTCATGTTGGTTTTTTTTTGTGTTGAGTTTCTATGGATTTGTTTCTCTTGTCTACCTGGACTAACACAGAATCCAAACTATATATATACAAATTATATAAATAAAAAGGACATATCCACAAACTACATGAGACAGTTTATAAGAACATATTCAAATACAACTATATATCAAACACACTGACTTGGAAGGTGGGTCCAAACCCCAAAACTTGTTGCTGTTGAGTTGATTTCAACTCATCGTGATCCTGTATGACAGAGTAGAACTGCTCCTGTGTGTTTCCAAGACTGTAAATCTTTATGGGAGTCGAAAACTGTAAACCCAAACCAATTGCCATCAAGCTGATTCTGATTGTTGGTGACCCAATAGGACAGAGTAGAACTGCTCTGTAGGGTTTATAAGACTGTAAATCTTTTTGGGAACAGATAAAATCTTATCTTTCTCCCATAGAGTTGCTGATGGGTTTGAACTGCCAGACATGCATTTAGCAGTGCAGTGCTTAGTTCACTCTGCCACCATGGATCCTTGAGGGTGGGTATACAAGGTAATTAATCAAGTGACCAGACCAATGTTGATGGGGTTTCATGTTTTAAAATCAGGAAAAGTGTGTGTGAGGTTCGTATCTTTTTCCCACAGTTCTTCAATCAGTTTGCTAGGTACACAATCCAACAACCTGGATTGTATGAAGAAGAATGTGGTGTTGGGGCTGGAGAAGGGCTCAGTAACACCTGTTACATGCAGACGAGACAAGCTGGCCTGCTTGCTGAAATGAGGATGACTTGAACCATTTGCTGATGAAGGTCAAGAACTCTAACCTTCAGTATGGATCACAACTCCATGTAAAGAAAACCCAAATCCTCATAACTGGACCAGTAGACAATGTCATATTAAGTGGAGAGAACATTGAAGTTGTCAGGAATTTTGTTTTACTTGGACCCATGATCAATGCTCATGGAAGTCAACCCCCAAAACCAAATTCAGTGCCATTGAGTCAGCTGCAACTCATAGTGACCCTCTAGGACAGAATGAGCAGTAGCCAAGAAATCAAATGATGTATTGCATTGGAAAAATCTGCTGCACAAAACCTTTAAAGGGTTAGAGAGTCAAGATAACAGTCTTGGGACTAAGTTAAGGTGACCAGATGTCTCGCTTTTTGGCGGTTTAAAAAAGTCCCGATTTTTGGAAAGAATGCACGACAAGCTAGGGAAGGGTCTATTTGGTCCATATGGACCACATTTTAAATCAAGAACCCCTCCCCCCTATCCCCGGTCAATGGTGTCCAGCTTTACCAATGTTAAAATCTGGTCACCTTAGACTAAGTGCAAGTGCTCCTGACCCAAGTCACTGTGTTTTTAGTGGCCTCATACACATATCAGATCTGGACGATGAACAAGCGAGACTGCAGAAGAATCGATACATTTGAATGATGGTGTTGGTGACGAATACTGAAAGTACCATGAACTGCCAGAAGAGGAAACAAATCTACTTTGCCAGAAATACAGCCAAACACGGCTTCGAAACCAGGAGGGTGAGACTTCGTCTCACATACTTCGGACGTGTTTTTAAGAGAGACTAGTGCCTCTGAAAAAGACTTCATGCTTGGTAAAGGGGGTGTCGTTGACAAAGAGGAAGACACTCAAGAAGATGGATTGATAAAGTGGCTACAACAAAGGATTTGAAAATAGTAAACATTTTGAGGCTGGTGGACTGGGTAGTGTTTTGTTCTGTTGTACATGGGGTTTCTAGGCGTTATAATGGACTCCAGGACACTTAAAACGCCAGCATGGCCCTGAAGTTTCTCCAGAATGAGCTGCTCTCCTATGGAATGTTGAGTACCATGTTGGGTGTGTTCACTTCGATGGATACCTGAGTCTGGCAGGATTCTCATCCTCATTCTCTCCTAACGTTGGTCTTTCTTGGTCCCCCTCATCATGCCCACACCACTTTCTCTCTTGCATCCCCTCTACCATTGAGTGTTCAGGTGAGGCTCGGCACCCCATCTTGCTTATACCCAAGTTTGGTCTTGGATTTTCTAAGTAGTAACTTTTGCATTGAAGCTCATCAGTTATGTCCTGATCAAAGTCACAAGTGCTCTGCTAAATTGAGTGAGAGGGGAGAGACTGAACTTGAACTAATCTCTTTCTTTACCCAAGTGAAACTTATTTCTTTTTATCACACAAAGCGTGTTGGCTGCTTTATGCCTTTTATGTTTTGTAATTCCTTTGCTTATTATACTTTTAAAAAATAGGGCTTTAAAATTGGACGTTTTTGAATCACCCGACGGTCTTCTCTATGTACCTGCTCACACTGAAATCATGAGTGTGTTCATTTTCATAATGAGTGATAGATACTAACCTAGCCTTTTACACCCTCTTCATTCAAGACTCCTTTGGCATCAAATGCCCAGGTGCCACCATCCAAGCCTATATGATGGGGCTTCATTCAGAAAACCCAGGATCGAGTAAAATAAATGAACAGCATATTGGCTCCACGCTCCATTCACAACTGTTAATTTAACAGGGTTATGCTTCCATCGCTGAGCAGAAAGTTCCTGGCAGGGACAGCTGCTCTGTTGCCCCAGATTGTGCTGTGTGTCTCCCTGTAGGAGACATCAGTAGCAGCAGGAGAGCGGCAGGTGGTAGTGCATCAGAGAACAGAGCAGTGTCACAGCACAGCACTGGGGGGAGGAGGAGGGAGCCAGGCCTCAGCAAAGGACTTATCCCTTGACGCAACCCTTCTTCATATGGATAATGCAGTTAAATGAGGATGATGAAACACTTGCCTTGAATCTTCCTCAGAAAATTGTTATTGCTGTATTTATGCTCATATGTAGTTTGCTTGCAAAAACATCTTCTTAGAGCCACTAGCATGTGGATAGATCTAAGCTGTGATGGCCCGTATGCTTGTCCGTGTAATGTCTTACAGGACCACATGATTAGCAGGATCTGGGACAGAGCTGATCTGACTGGAAGAAAGCAGATCACTGTGCTGACTTGCTGTGGCCTACCTCCTCAACTGGAGCAAATTCCAAGGCCAAGGCCAAGGTTGGGCCAAGCACCAGATTTGATACACGCTAAGCACTCTTTTATTAGTTGTGTCTAAACCACTTGTTCTCAAGCTTCCTAATGCTGCAACCCTTTAATATAGTTCCTCATGTTGTGGTGACCCCCAACTATAAAATCGTTTTCATTGCTACTTAATAACCGCAATTTTGCTACTGTTATGAATCGTAATGTAAATATCTGGTAGGCAGGATGCATTTTCATTGTTACAAGGTGAACATAAAGCATAGTGATTAATCACAAAACAATATGTAATTATTTATTGTGAAATATTGATTTCTAATGACAAATCAATGAAATTTTATCTTGAAGTATGGTGTAACATGGGTAACAGTCTTCATGCTGGGTACTTGTAGGTGGGCATATCTGCATGTGGATGGACCTGCCTGGAGACGGATACAGTAGTGTCTTGTTTCCTAAGACCATCGGAAATCTGTATTTCCCCAGTGCCCAGAATAGTGTTCAACTCATAGATGCTCGAAAGTTAAATGAAGGAAAGAATCGAGGTCAGCAACCATGCCGAGGTCCCCTGGTGACCCAGGCATCATATAGAATGCTGTGGGCTTTGCTGCCAATTTCTTTCCTTGACCAGATCATCTGTTCCTATCCTCTGATAAAACGTCCATGTGGACAAATGCCCTTGGCCGCACATGTCATGCTGTAGTGGAAAGGTAAACATTTGACACGCTAGTCTTTTGTCTATTGTAATTAATCTAAAATTAATGTTATGTCTAAGCTGGTTGGGAGAAGATAAAATACAGCTCCAGATTCACTGCTGTGGAGTTGATGCCTACCCATAGCGACTGGGGTTAGGAGTCCCAGATGGTGACTTGACCAGCGCACACCCCTCTTGCTAACTATGGGAACAGGTGTGGGTGCTGTTTCTTCCCTGTTCAAAACCAAATACTCAGGGCTGGCCACTTACCAATTATATTTTGAAGATCTGGCCTGCTTGTTATTGACATTGGACTACGCAAGAGAGGGTGTATCACTTGTGATCAATATTCTGACTTGTCCCCCTTCTGAATTGATCCCTCAACGCCCTCAAATTCATTTGCAGCTTGGACAATACCTGGGTGGATTCTACGGGTTTCCTGCTAGCGCTGGAGCTCTTAAGGGATTTTTCTATCAAGTTTATAAAATCATAAAAATTCACAGTGTTTTTCAGAAAGTCTGAAAAAGCAGTATCTTTTGGAAGTCTTCTACTATTAAAATTGAAAAACAAAAACAAATACAATTTCAATGGCCAAGTACCTGCCTTTTAAAATAGCTGATTTAAGTTTGGCAATGGAGAGCCATTGAACCTGGGAAGGGAAACATACAGAATAATGCCCATGATGCTGCAAGGCCACCAAAGAATGTGTTCTCCACCCAGTTCTCTCGCTTCCTTTCCCAGCTCCAAATACAGTGCTCAGCACGCAGTAAATCACTCAGTGAATGTTGAATCACCCCATTCTCTCCTTTCATTTCTCCCCTTTTCTCACAAAGGTTGAAAAAAATGATGAGGACCAAAAGATTGAGCAGGATGGCATCAAACCAGAAGATAAAGCTCATAAGGCTGCAACCAAAATCCAAGCCAGCTTCCGTGGACACATAACAAGGAAAAAGCTCAAAGGGGAGAAGAAGGGCGATGGCCAAACTGCTGAGGCTGACGTGAACGAGAAGAAGGAGGAGGTCCCTGTGGCTGATGGGGTGGAGAAGAAGGAGGGAGATGGTCCTACCACCGCTGATGGAGCCCCAACCACTGGCCCCAAGTCTGAGGAGACCGGGAAAGCCGGAGAAGCTCCTTCTGAGGAGAAGAAGGGGGAGGGCACCCCTGATGCTGCCACTGAGCAGGCAGCCCCTCAAGCTACTGCCCCCTCGGAGGAGAAGGCTGGCTCTGCGGAGACAGAAAGTGCCACTAAAGCTTCCACTGATAACTTGCCGTCCTCCAAGGCCGATGACCCCCCAGCTAAGGAGGAGCCTAAACAAGCCGATGTGCCTGCTGCCGTCACTGATGCTGCTGCTGCCACCACCCCTGCTGCCGAGGACGCTGCTGCTAAGGCAACAGCCCAGCCTCCGACGGAGACTGTGGAGAGCAGCCAAGCCGAAGAGAAGATAGGTGAGTGGGCATCAAGGGGCATCAACAGGGGTTTATTCCAATGACTGTGCTTTATGGGCTTTCAAGTGAAAGGGAAAAGTCTAGGAAGTGTTTTCAGGAAATGAGAGACTCATTGTGACCCTCCCACCCCTCACCCCCGTTACCCCTTGAGGTTAGACGAGAACTGTGCTCCCTGGGCTTTCAGAGGCTGATTGTTGGGCAAATGTCTTACTTGCCCCAAGAACGGTGCCATTCTTTCGAGGCACCATTGGGTGGACTTGAACTTCCAACCTTTCCCTTAGCAGGTTTCACAGTTAACTGCCTCTTCCACTCAGGCACTCAAAGCAGGGGAAGCTGTGCTTAATCCCCCAAAGAGACAGAGCTAAAGTTCATCCCCAAAGATCTCCAAGCCTAAGAGGGAACTCTAGGCAGGTCTGTGTAGCTATCTCCTAGCAGTGGAGAGATCAGGCCATTATGTTGATCATGAATTGAGAAATACAAGCAAACTAGATAACGCCGGCTTGTTTGATTTTTAAGTGGTGTGTGGACAGACCTGGCTTTATGCGTAATGACAGAGTCTATCCATGTCTCGTGGTGGTAATTAGTTAATGTGATTATTTGGCTACATGGAGTGCTTAGTATAAACAGAGCAAACTCTGGATTGATCTAGAGTATCTAGTTTGTGAATTGCCAACAGCAAAAACATAATCTCAGACCATCTTTCTCTAATTTACAATATGTTTCTGGGCATTCTCCCCACTACCAATTGGTGTGTGGTGTTTGTATGTATGTCAATGCTCAACTAATGTTACTTGTAACATTAATCTGAGTCAGACATAATTAAGAAAATAAGCCTTGTAATGCTGCCAAAAACAAAAGGAAAGCCCCCAGAGATAAAACATGTTGGAAAGTCAAGCATATTATTTTATTATTGAAGACACTACTTTCCAGCATATGCATGAACAGTTGAGGGCTGAGTGTGAAGACCAAAACCCCAAACAAGCAAACTAGCTTCTCTTCTAAGTGGAGCTATAACTTGAAACAAGGTTGTCACCATTATTCTCCCAAAGAACTTGTGCAAAATTGGAATAGAGCTTCCAGGAGAACAAGATAGATGTAACAGAGAGTCACCTTTGGAGATGAGCCCTATCCCCAGCTCAGTCCATGCACGGTGGTGAAGAAGACCCATCATCTTCAAGTGCCTTCTCTAGGCTAGCGTGACCTAGAACTTTAAACTAAGTTGCTTGTAGTGCCAATTTGAAGAGCTGGCTTTATTCCTGTCCAATCAAATGTGCCTTTGACCCACAATGAGGCAAAAGAGTCCAAATTTGGGCTGGGTCACATTTTAGCCTCAAGAGGAGATTCAATCAATGAGAGTTGTCCAGAAGTTTTGGCATGTGATAATCAGACTGAGAAAGTTAGACGTTATCAGGTCCATTTCTCTGACGTTATCCTTAAACTCTGCGAGTTAATTGTTATTATCGGCATGCTCTGTTGCTGTGCATTGCCCTTGAATTGATTCTGACTCATAGCGACCCCATGTGTTCAGAATAACACTGTTCCATAAGCTTTTCACGGCTGTGCCTTTTTTGGAAGCAGACTACAAAGTCTTCTCAGATGCCTCTGGGTGGGTTTGAACTGCTGACCTTTTAATTAGTTAGCCACACTTAACCATTGGTGTCTCCAGTGGATTGTTTGACATATTCTCACTCACATACGCCTTTGTACCAATCACTAATTTTAAATATTTATTCTAATGCTATACCTGGCCCCAGAGGCCAGATTTTGAGGTTAAGAAGATGGGACAGGGAATTTCGCACCAGACAAGGTAAGACTTGTGATAAAGAATAAGGTGCTGATTTTAATTTATTCAGCAAAGCAAACATTGTCTAATACTTTACTTAGGTCTAAGGTTAGAATATCAGGTACAACATCACTTTGCAAACGGGCTACTTCCTGTATTGTTTTCATAAATCTTCAGAATTACTCATGTTTTTAAATACAGAAAGTACTTGACATTGCCTGACAATATTTTTTAATGATTTTCTGAGGTTAGGTGGATAGGCAGGTAGGTTTGATATCTTTCTCTCTATTTGTCAGACATATGTTAATACTTTGGATTTATAGAATGAAAGAATGTCTGAATTGATGAAAACTTAAAATACAGTTTTTAAGAAGTAATCTATTATTTTTGAAGTTATGCCTATTCCAAAGAATGCAGTGGTTAACATTTTTCAGTTACACCAATTCTAAATGAATTAAGAAAATACTGAATGTAGCGAGTGACCCATGGATGCCAGGTGTTGAAAGTGTGAAGAAAGGCTAGATTTAATTGATAGATGGTACTTTGTTCACTCTCATATATTCCTTTTTGAACCTTGTTTACCCTGCTCATTTGTTTGATTAACTATGTGCCTGATCCGTGAAAGCAAATGGAGAGATCTTGCTCAGTCCTAAATATTACAAACTCCAATTGAACCATATGTTAATTAATCAGGTTTTACTATGTCAATGGAAGGCCATTGAAAGTCTGGGTAAAGTTCAACGTGAAGGCAACTTATTTTACATTGTTTCTTAGCCTTGGGTAGGTTTGTCTTCTTGGTGCCATGTTGAAATGCTCTGCCTGTAGTTTCCTTGGGGACGAGGTAAGCTGGGAGCTCTGCCTGCTGCTCTCTTTGACAAGGAGCCCTGAGAGTATAGTCCTTGTTACAGATTGGGCTGCTAACTGCAAGGTCAGCAGTTGGAATCCAGGAGGCAATCAGCTTTCTACTCCCCAAAGACTTCCGGGGACAGTTCTAACTGACCTATAGGGTCCCTTTGAATCAGAATGGACTCAGTGGCGGTGAGTTTGGTTTGGGTTTGGTGTGTTGGTTTCCCAGCTCTCTCTGACAAGTATAGAAACTCGAGGGGACCAGGAGATCTATCAATAGTCTATCAGACCCAAATTCCCAAGGACCCTGTTCCACATTCTCTTCTATCTCCCATTAGATTGCTTTCTTTTTCTTTCTTTTTTTTTAACTTTTAAATTTATTTTTATTTTTTTTAAATCATTTTATTGGGGGCTCTTACAGCTCTTATCACAATCCATACATACATTGTGTCAAGCACATTTGTACATAATTTTTAAAACATTTCATTTCTACTTGAGCCCTTGGTATAAAAGTTTACTTTTTTAAAAAGCCTTTTTTTAAAAAAAATCATTTTATTAGGGGCTCCTACAACTCTTATCAGAATCCATACATACATCAATTGTGTAAAGTGCATTTGTACGTTCATTGCCCTCATCATTCTCAAAACATTTCTAATGCAGGTTAAAAAGCTGGCATTTCTAATTGAGGTGTACTGTTTGGAAATGTGGGACTACCATAGGTCATTGTAGCATTCTCTGACTTCTAGAAATGGTACAGAGGGAATCTAAGAGGGTGAGTGGGGGTGAGAAGAAACACAGGGCAAAAAAGAGAATCCGAAGAAAAAAATAATTTCTGTTAATAGGAAATTCAGATCACAGCTTAGCACTGCTTTCACAGATACAAAACTATTCTGTGAATTATAAAATGTTATATTATGCTGTGCTTTCTATGCTTGGATTTGTTATAGGTGGGTGCCATTTGCCTTAGGAGCTTTGGCATCATTTTGTTATTTTTATTTCCTTGTTTTAGAAATTCTTCATCTCTTCCTCTCCTTGCTTCATCAATGTGTCCCTGCCTACCATCTCCTTGTATGACTTCAACTCAAGGTCTCATTGCATCTGTAATGATGGCTCCTTTATATACAGAGAAGTATTTAAGATACGCAGGGCACTGTCCACTTTCAGCCATTGGGAGCAAACTTTCAAGCTTCCTTTAGCGAGTATGTTCTTGGCTCTCCTCCTTAGCTGTGTCACTATGCTCCTCCCTTGACTCTAAGCAAAAGAAGCGCTTTTCTCCATTCCATGCCATTGACCCCCAGTCATGTCCACTGCCATTGAGTTGATTCCAATTCATAAGCACTCTGTGGAGGATTTCTTTTTTTTTTTTTCTAGTTCTTTTTTTTTAAATCATTTTATTAGGGGCTCATACAACTCTTATCACAATCCATACATACATCAATTGTGTAAAGCACATTTGTACATTCATTGCCCTCATCATTCTCAAAACATTTGCTCTCCACTTAAGCCCCTGGCATCAGGCCCTCATTTTTCTCCCTCCCTCCCCGCTCCCCTTCCCTTATGAACCCTTGATAATTTATAAATTATTATTTTGTCATATCTTGTCCTGTCCGACGTCTCCCTTCACCCACTTTTCTGTTGTCCGTCCCTCAGGGAGGAGGTCACATGTAGATCCTTGTAATCGATTCCCTCTTTCCAACCCACCCTCCTTCTACCCTCCCAGTATCGCCACTCACACCACTGGTCCTGAAGGGATCATCTGCCCTGGATTCCCTGTGTTTCCAGTTCCTATCTGTACCAGTGTACATCCTCTGGTCCCGCCAGACTTGCAAGGTAGAATTTGGATCATGTTAGTAATTGGGGTGGAAGCATTTAAGAACTAGAGGAAAGTTGTACTTTTCATCGTTGCTACATCACACCCTGACTGGCTCGTCTCCTCCCCGAGATCTCTCTGCAAGGGGATCTCCAGTGGCCTACAAATGGGCTTTCGGTCTCCACTCCCCACTTACCCCCTCATTCACTATGGTAAGAATTTTTGTTCTGATGATGCCTGATACCTGATCTCTTTGACACCTCATGATTGCACAGGCTGGTGTGCTTCTTCCATGGGGGCTTTGTTGCTTCTGAGCTAGATGTCCACTTGTTTACCTTCAAGCCTTTAAGACCCCAGATGCTATATCTTTTGATAGCCAGGTACCATCAACTTTCTTCACTACATTTGCTTATTCACCAGCTTTGTCTTCAGTGGTTGTGTCGGAAAGGTGAGCATCATATGTGGAGGATTTCCAAGATTGTAAATATTTATAGGAACATGCAACCTCATTTTTTTTTCCCATGGCAGTTGGCGGATTTGAACCACAATCCTGTGGTTAGC